TAAGTAGAAAATATACAGATAAGGGCGGGGCGTGGTGGCTCATGCCTGTAATCCCAGCACTTTGGGAGGCCAAGGCAGGTGGATCATAAGGTCAAGAGATTGAGACCATCCTGGTCAACATGGTGAAACCCCATCTCTACTAAAAATACAAAAAATTAGTTGGGCACGGTGGCACATGCCTGTAATCCCAGCTACTCAGGAGGCTGAGGCAGGAGAATTGCCTGAACCCAGGAGGCAGAGGTTGTGGTGAGCCAAGATCACTCCATTGCACTCCAGCCTGGGTAAGAAGAGCGAAACTCCATCTCAAAAAAAAAAAAGAAAATATATAGATAAAAGAAAATAAAATAGATTATAAAACAGCTGTGTGGTAATATCAAATGATGAAACATACACATAATCAAAAGCCAAGAAGGAAACAATCAAGAAAATGGGACATTTTCATTACAAATGTAAAGAAATAATGAATGAGAATTTTCTAAAATAAATAAATTTTCTAAAATAAATAGGCATCAAAACACATCCAAGAAACTCAGAAAACACCAACCAGAATAAAATTGTAAAGGGAGTGAGAAAGAGAGAGATGTGTATGTGTGTATGCACACACACACACACACACACACACACACACTCCTACGCATATCATATTCAGACTGCAAAAATTAATAAAGGGAAAACCCTGAAGATATTTGAAGAAAAATGAGACATTAACTAGTTAAATAAATGTAAACAGTTAAATAAGTTAGACTTCTCATTAGAAGTTGTGAAAGGTAGAAGACAACAAAGTCGTATTTTTAAAGTACACACAGGCAATAAACAAACAAACTTGTCAACCAAGAATTCTTTACCTAGAAAAAGTATCTTTTTAATATTGGGAGAAATAATTATTTTCTCAAACAAAAACAGAACAAACTTTATTATAAGGAACCTTATGGAATCTTAAAAAAAATTCCATAAGCAGAAGAAATATGATACCAGACTGAAACTTCAACCTGCAGAAAGAAATGAAGGGAACTGGAAAGAGAATAAATGAAGGAACATAAGATTCATCTTTTGTTCCTCTTAATTACTATAAAAGAGAACTAACTGATATGGTTTGGATGTGTACCCCTGCTCAAATCTCATGTCAAATTATAATCTCCAATATTGGAGGACGGGCCTGGTGGGAGGTGATTGGATCATTGGGGTGGAGTTCTCCTGAAAGATTTAAAACCGTCCTTTGGTGCTGTTCTTTTGATAGAGTTCTCATGAGATCTGGTTGTTTAAAGGTGTGTGTCACCTCTCCCCTCTCTCTCTTTCTCCTTCTCTGGCCATGTCTTCTGCCATGATTATAAGTTTCCTGAGCTTCCTGCCCTGAAAAGCTGAGTAAACTCCAGTATCATGCTTCCTGTACAGCCTGCAGAACCATGGGCCAATTAAATCTCTTTTCTTTATAAATTACCCAGTCTCAGGTATTTCTTTATGGCAAGATGAGAATGGTTATCAAGGAGTGGGGCATTGCTATAATGATACCTGCAAATGTAGAAGTGGCTTTGGAACTGGGTAATAGGCAGGAGATAGAAAGATGAGGAAAAATGTGGAACTTCCTAGAAACTTGTTAAATTGTTGTGACCAAAATGTTGATAGTAATAAGGACAATTAAGTTCAAGTTGAAGAGGTCTGAGATGGAGATGAGAAACTTATTGGGTACTGGTGCAAAGATCACTTTTGTTATGCATTAGCAAAGAGGTTGGCTGCATTGTGCTCCTGTTCTAGGGATCTGTGTAGCTTGGAACTTGAAAGTGATGATTTAGAGTATCTGGAAATAAGAAATTTCTAAGCAGCAAAGCATTCAAGATGTGGCCAGGCTGCTTCAACAGCCTATTCTCATATGCATGAGCAAAAAAACAACCCCAAACTGGAACTTATATTTAAAAGGGAAACACAGCATTAAAGTTGGGAAAACTTTCAGCCTGGTCATGTGGTAGAAAAGAAAACTCAACTTTCAGGGGAGAAAATTCCAGCTGGCTACAAAGATTTCTATAGCTAAAAAAAAGACAAATGCTGATAGTCAAGGCAATGGGCAGACGGCATCAAAGGCATTTCAGAGACCATTGCATCAGCCTCTCCCATCACAGGACCAGAGGCCTAGTAGGGAAGAATGGTTTCATTGGCCAGGCCAGGGTCCTGCTTCCCTGTGCAGCCTCAGAACGCTGCTTTCTGCATCCCAGCCACTCCAGCTCCAGCCATTGTTCATAGAGGCCCAGGTATAGCCTGCGCTGCTGCTTCAGAGGTTGCAAGCTGGTTTTGTTTGTTTGTTTGAGACAAAGTCTTGGTCCATTGCCTAGGCTGGAGTGCAGTGGTGTGATCTCAGCTCACTAAAACCTCTACCTCCTGGATTCAAGTCATTCTCCTGCCTCAACCTATCAAGTAGCTGGGATTACAGGCACCCACCACCACACCCAGCTAATTTTTAAATATTTTTTAGTAGAGATGGGGTTTCACCATGTTGGGCAGGATGGTCTTAGACTCCTCCTGACCTCAGGTGATCTACCTGCCTCAACCTCCTGAAGTGCTGGGATTATAGGTGGGAGCCACGACTGTGCCTGTCCACAAGCTGCTCTTATGATCCAGAAGGAATATACAGTACAAAATAACTTTTATGATATTTATAGTATCTTTTATCATCATAGTCTATGAGCCTATTATGATTATTATGAAGATCCCACACCATTAAATAATGGGGACAATGTCCATCAACTAGCTGCCTTTTATTTCTTATTTGGACAGTGATTTAGTTAGTCAATTGGAGAAGATATTTACATTTACTTTATTATTATTCATGGAAATAAAAATAAAAGTAGAACTTTTAACTTGACATCTAGAATCCTCATAAAAATGACTGGTACTGACTGAAGGAGCCGAAGGCATTCTATAGAATTCTAAGATAACCTGTAATCTTATATGTATATCTGTATGTGTGTATGTCAATATACAGGACTATGTGTGTATACATCTATATCTATACCTGTAGGTCTAGATCTCTATAAAATCATCTTCTAGAATTCATACAGAATCACTACAGACATTTATAAGCCAAAGTGGCAGAAATATTAAAATAAATAACCATAATATTTTAACTCTGATCAATATTTTACTAGTACAGTCCTTTCATATTTCTAAGCAGATTTCTCTAGCTAATTTATATTAAGAAATAAAGTTCTATTTAAGCCAACAGAATAAGTTGGGAACCGGTATATTAGCAAATGATTACTAGAAACATATTTTTTCAACTTAACAATGACATCAGAAATACACTTATTGAGAATAAGCTGCATTTCTGGTAATGAGAAGGCAAAGAAAGATTCTGCAGGATTTGGCTCCACTAGATCTCCTTTCGGCAATTTAAGGTCATTTACCATAGTGACTCAGAATTTCAAAAGGTATATGTGTTATTTTCAAGGAGAAGGAAATAGAAGGTACTTAGGTTAGTTTAATTTGCTTTAATTGAAAGGGCATAAGGACATTCAATATTTATGTATTCACCTTCTTTTAGTTTCCCTGTGCTTTGCACGGTAAATGACCTTTGACATTGTATAGCCTTGATTTATAAAACAACTTTACTACTTATTATTTCATAGTAAATACTTCAACTTGCTGATCTTTAGTTTCTCCTTCTTTACAATGAAGAAAAATATTGTATAGGATTTTTTTATAAGAATTATATTAAATTAAACAACATGTGTAGGAACCCTAACACAATTAGGTTGGGTCATAATCACTCTCAATACACATTAATTTTATTAATCATGCCTTACTCCTTAGGAACTATTCTTCATTTATCACCCAAAGGTGCTTCTGTATGGATAAAGATAGTAAGAATTGCAAATAGTAAGGGAGAATTTTTATGGACTTGAGAAAGCTGTAATGAGAAATATGTGGCACCTAATGGAGAACTGAAATAAGTTAATTTATGCTGCAAATCATATATTCTGTATATTTGTCAGGAACAACCGTAATTGATTTGAAAGTGGAGATGTGATCTATAGGTGTCCTTTCAATGGCATGTTGAGTGATTATTGTATTGCAGTGTGAGTGAGCCTTTTATTGACTCAGCCACTTTATAATTCTGTAAATTATGGAAAACTTAAAGAAATACAAATGTTTCTTGTGTGTTGACAGGCAAGTGAATTTTGTCTGGAAGATTTATAATTGATTTCTACCCTGTAGAATAGGTAATTCAAATAGTATATGTTTTTACTGGTAGTGATCCATTTTGCATCTATTAGCAAATTTTTTTCAGAACTTGTGATTACCTGTATTTGCATCTGTGTTTAGATTTTATTTTGGACTAATTTTAACATCCTATGAATTTCTTCACTAATGAGTTAAACAAATTGACACACATATTTATTGTATATTTTTATGAGAATCATAATTTTATCCTTCTGAAAATTATCTATAACAAACTTCAACTCAGGTCTTCAGTTTCTAATCCCAGAGTTTATATACGGAAATTCAAAGGAACTCGATAAAGCTTGCCTTTGTCAACTGTAAACTCCAAAAGAGATTACCCAGAACACATTGATCAAACCTACTGCAATAAAAAAAAATGCCACTTTGCCAATAAAAAGTTTTTACACATACCTACAGGGAATCTGAAGAAAAAGAAGATTGTCTTTATTCGCAAAGGCATGATTGTGTAAGTAGACAGTATACAAAAATCTATAGATAAAGAATTCACCTTAAGAAGCTATTTTATCAAGGCCTCTGGATACAACAAGAAAATAGAGTTAAAAAGATACCATTTATAATTGAACCAAAACAAAATATTTAGGAATAATATATAAAATACCTATATAGAAAACTGCAAAACGTTAGGGAGAGAAATAAAGAAAATCTAAATCAGTACATACATATTTGGAAGAGTCAATAGTTTACAGGTTACAATTCATCCTAAACTGATCAATAGGTGGACTGCAATCACTTGAGGTGCTTTCTGGAAACTAATAAGCCAATTCCAAAATGTATTTGGATATGCAAAGGACAAATAATAACCAAGAAAATCTCAAAGAATAACAACCAAGTTGGGGATGGATAGTTTCAGGTATTAAGAGTAATAATGCTGCAACATTTTTGAAAGTGTGGTATTGGTATTATGTAGACAAACAGAACAAAATGAGAAGCCTATAAAAAGAAAACACGTGTATGATTGTTTGATTTCTTTCCAAGGTGAGACTGAAGCAGAGTTTAGAAAGAGTGGCCTTTTCAGTTATTGGGCCTACGTTGATTTGGTTTTCTAAGTAGATAAACATCTTTCTTCTCTGTTGTCAAGTCCTCAAAAGGCCACCACAAAACCTGTTGATTGAGCAAACAAAGTTTATCAGATTCTGTTTGACGAAAGTCAGAGAAAACTATATGAGGCTTTGGATTTGGGCCTAAGTGGTTTAAGTAACCTCCTTCAAGGCCTGGAACTGACTGAGATTAGGAAAAATCAGTTTTGTAGTAGTTTAGGATTGGTGGTCACAAAGACAGGCTTGAAGTAAGTCTAGATAAGGAAACTGATTTTTTGATACAGGAGTTGCTTGCCCTGGTGAGAAATCTATTATCTTGATAGAAGAGGTACTCATAGATAAAGGAAGTATTTTTTGAGAGAAATTGGTTTGCAAGGATTCCCTGGAGTAAGGAGTTATGTCATGTCTCGGTTCTCTGTCTAGCTAATTAACTATGTGAATGCAGGTGTCTCTCCTCCACCTTCTACCTCACATTGTATGCAAAAGTCAATTCTAGGTGGAATGTAGTTCTAAATCTACAACTAAATAAAGCTTCTAGAAGAGGAGATAGGAAGGTATTTTTGTGGTCTTCAAGTTGGCAAAGCTTTTTAAAATCAGACCCAAAAAGCTCCTTAACCATAAAAGAGGGAAAAGGTGGATAAATCAACCTACATTAAACTACAAATCTGTTCATTCAAAATAAACCATTAAGAGAGTAAAAGGGCAAAAAAAAAATGAGCATAAAGTTTGAACAAGAACTTGACAAAGAGGGCATTCCAATGGTTACTAAAGCTGAGAAAATTATATTTTATAATCCAGCAATTCTATTTCTCTAGGTATATATCCAAAAGATGTATATGTATATGATAATTTTCATTAATGGAAGAGTCTATAAATAAAGTAGCTGTATATCCATACAATGAAGAAAGAATAAGCATGAATAAATTATTGTGACAGGCAGCAACATCTATTATGCCTACAAACATAATGCCAGGCAAAACGAAGCCAAACCCAAAAGATAATAGACTAGATGTTTCTCATTCCATGAAATTCAAATGTAGGCAAATTTCATCTAGGTTATTATAACTCAGAACAATGTTGACCTTTGGTAATAACTGGAAGGGGACATCCAGACCTTCTGCAGTGTTATAAATTTCCTATTTTGTGATCTGAGTGCTGATTATGCTTACAGGCTTAGTTTGTGAAAATTCAGCAAACTGTTTTTTCTATACTTTCAACGGAGTTTACAAGAAAGCTGTAAAAAAGGGCAGAGAAAGAAGAAGGCTATAAGGAAAGGCAAAAAGGAGGAAATAAGGATTAAAGGAAGAGTCACTTTCTAGGGATCTGCAATCTAACAGTCATCATCATGACATGGAAAACAACGAGGAAAAAGAAGAGACTAAACTGATTCCTGTTCACAGTAACCAAAACAGATTGAAGAATGAGAATGGTAATCTGAAGTGTGCATAGCTTGTTCACCTTTTAATTCTTAGAATTCTCCACTGAAAATGGTTTCTTGGTGACAAGCTTAGTTCTTCATACCTCATTAAAGAAGCATTTACAGCTGAATGGTTGCTATTTCTCTTCACATGGAGCCAAATTTGGATTTTAATTGACAGCCCAGACCCTGTTCTCTTTATTTCCTATGTGCAATTAGAAAGAGAGAGCATATGTTCTGAAGTCGAAGCTCAGGAATGGGATGTTTGGAGTTCCTGAAGTCATTCTTCACTCTGTGAAACCTAAATTCGTCCCACTCTCTCCTGACTGCACATGTGCAGTGTAACATTTGCTGCAAGGTGACTCTAACATGAGCTTCAGCTGACATCCTTTCTGCTAGTTCCAGAAATACAAATTAGCCTGTGTTGGCAGAAGATTGGGAACTGCTCTTTAAGCAGTCTTTCATTCTGCAGTTTTATTTTCCATTCATCTTGCCAAGAGAGTATCTTTTTCCAGAAGTTTCTCCTCTGCTCTCCCCTGCCCTTTTCTTCTTCTTTTAGTTCTTCTTTTCTCTCCAAGATCCAAATGTATCTTTACTTAAGTCTCTTGCTGTTTCTTATCCTCATATTTTTATACTGTCAATTGCTTTCATCTCTGCACTTCACTTATTTTAAAATTTTTGGCCAGTAGTAAAAACATACATGAATTAAGAACAACCCATGAAGTGGATAAATTACCTGTTTTGTTCAATAACATCATAACATTTCATTTACCATTTAGAATATTTATTTTTTTAATTTTTGAGACAGAGTCTCATTCTGTCACCCAGGATGGAGTGCAGTGGTGCAATCTCAGCTCACTGTAACCTCCATCTCCTAGGTTCAAGCAATTTTCCTTCCCCAGCCTCTTGAGTAGCTGGGATTGCAGGTACCCACAAACACACCAGGCTAATTTGTGTGTGTGTGCGTGTGTGTGTGTGTGTGTGTGTATCTTTGGTAGAGATGGGGTTTCACCAGGTTTACCAGGCTGGTCTTGAACACCTGACCTCAAGTGATCCACCTGCTTTGGCCTCTCAAAATGCTGGGAATACAGGAATGAGCCACCACCACTGGCCACCATTTAGACATTTTGAATGCTTTAAGTTTGAAATGTAAGATATTAAAATAATTATAAATCATTAGCAAATATGGATTACTTATATCCTGTCTATAATGATAGTTTTATTTTTCCTTAAGTCAATAAGAGAATATAACCATCTTCCTATTCCTCTACCTTTTAAATTTAGCTCCTTTAAGAATATGCTGTTTTGTAATATCTATCTGGGAAGCCTAAGTATAATTAACCCATTACCTAATGCATTCATGTGTCTAAAGGCAGATCTCTTTGACTTTAGTAGCAGTGGAATGGGGAGAAGCCAGGGCCAGTTGCATTACTGATTCTCTGTTCTCATTTCCTTCTGATTCTGCCATGGCAGCTCTTGATTTTTCTTGCTTACAATTTTTGAGCTTTGAATGTCTCTTCTTTTTTTTTTTTTTTTTTTGTAAGACAGAGTCTCACTCTGTTGCCCAGGCTGGAGGCAGTGGCACAATCTGAGCTCACTCCAACCTTAGCCTCCTAGGTTCAACTGGTTTCAAGCTAATTTTTGTATTTTTTTTTTCAGTGGAGACTGGGTTTCACCATGTTGGCCAGGTTGGTCTCAAACTCCTGACCTCAAGTGATCTGCCCACCTCGGACTCCCAAAGTGCTAGGATTACAGGTGTGAGCCACCACACAGGGCTGGATGTCTCTTTATTATCAAAGGTCTTGCCGCTTATGCACAGGAAGGATGACTGCTCAGTGCCAGGGTCTGTAGTTAACCTGCACTATTTGGATATCGCCAGGGAGGGAGGAAAGGACAGCAGTTTGGGCCCAGTGGAAACTCTGCCTAGGGACCTAAAACCCAGGCATTAGTTAAGACTTTTTGTGGCACTAGTTCACACCCTCCCAGTTTAAACTTTTTAAAACATTATTCTTTTTGTCATTGTTTTCTATGAGTTTGAAATATCCAGGCTTCACCACTAAGGAATTAATGTTTGCTCTTTTCTTGATAAGATATTTAACTGAATTCCTGTTCTTGAACACACAATATGTATCTTTATGAAGTTATGGACAAGTTCAATAACAGCCATCCCCAAATCTTGGTTTTATTTCCACTCTATTAGAATTGATTAAGGCTTCTATGGAGAAAGAGTCACCAAAACTCTAACATTTTACAACGTTTATTTTCCTTTTCATATTTTATTTGTAGTACCATTTGAACCTAATTCAGTTATAAAGCCAATGAAACAGGGATGGATTTGGACATACCTGGCTAGAATTAGAGGTTTTAGACTTAATATCTATTATATTTTAAACATTAATGAGTTATTATTTATTTATTTATTTATTTATTTGAGACAGAGTTTCTCTCTTGTTACTCAGGCTGGAGTGCAATGGCGCGTTCTCGGCTCACTGCAACCTCCGCTTCCTGGATTCAGGCAATTCTCCTGCCTCAGCCTCCTGAGTAGCTGGGATTACAGGCATGCGCCACCACGCCCAGCTATTTTTTTGTATTTTTAGTAGAGACGGGGTTTCACTATGTTGACTAGGATGGTCTCGATCTCTTGACCTCGTGATTCACCCACCTTGGCCTCCCAAAGTGCTGGGATTACAGGCGTGAACCGCTGCACCCGGCCTGAGTTTTTATTACTTTTTAATCTGGACAAATCAGCGGCCTAGAAATTCATGGAATTCTTAGAATTGAAATTTCAATTCTCTCAATTCTTTGTCTATTTATCTGTTAAGGGTTTACTATTCATTTTCAGGGGAAGATCATGACACTAAATATAACAATGTCATTTGGGTTTTATTCCATGTGTTGTAGGAGAAAGGTGTGTGCAGACCATTGTTTTTTTTTTTTTTTTTTTTTTTCTGGTCTAGTTCTATCCTTGGAAGAAGGAGAAGGAGAAAGAGGAAAAGGAGGAGGAAAGAAGGAGAAGGAGAAGGAGAAGGAGAAGGAGAAGGAGAAAGAGGAGAAGGAGGAGGAGGAGAAGGAGAGAAGGAGGAGGAGGAGCAGGAGGAGGAGGGGGAGGAGAAGGAGAGAAGGAGGAGGAGCAGGAGGAGGAGGGGGAGGAGGAGGAGGAGGAGAAGGAGGAGGGGAGGAGGAGGAGGAGGAGGAGGAGGGAGGAACAGCAGCAGCAGCTCCATCATATTTGCTCCACCATAGTGAAATATTACAATAGTGTAGTATCTAACTCCTCTCAGTGTTGCTTTTAGAAAACACTGATGCAAATAAACATAAGTCTTTTCTTCAAACTGCAAAAAAGATTTAAACTTTAAGTTAAATGAATTACTTGTCAAATGGGTTAATGAGCAATTTTCCATGTGGACAGGGTGGGCTCTGATTGGAGAAGGAAGCAGATGAAAATGCTCTCCTGGATTCAGAGTGAATCATTTTATGTTCATGTATTAGGTTGGTGAAGACGTAATTGTGAGTTTTGCCATTACTTTTAATATGGCAAAACCTGTAATTATGTTTGCAACAACCTAATATATTATCTGTCTCTTCATTTTCCAGTTTCTCTAACTTTCATCCTCCAAATGGATACAAAAATGATCGCTTAATGGGAGTCTAGAAAAATATGCATAATTATAATTTCAGTTAAGCTTTATTAAAAATGTACTAAGTTTTCAATGTATGAAGCTTGAGAGTTAGAGTTCTATTATTAATTTTTACAATAATATTTTATGGCTAGTACTTTACCATCAATCAACTGAACATATTTCTACATATTATACCATTGAGTCTCAGAACAGTCTGGAGGGGTGGGTAAATAACAGGTATGATGATATACATTCTAAAAATAGAATCTTGAGTGTTCAAGATGTTGTGACTTTTCCATCTCCAGGGTCACATTTCATTAAAGTAGTGGGCTACGTGTTAGTATTTTAGCATCTTTTCAGTGGATTATTAACTTTAGAAATTTTAAGAACACTTTTAAAAATCCCATTTATTTTTAAAAATTATCCACCCCCAACCTCCAACTAAAAAAGGAATTCTCTTTGACCAGTTGGTAAGTGAATTCATTACCTGGAACTAACCAAAGACGAAACAAAACTAAACCAAATCAACTGAAAGAAAAAAAAACAGAAAATTGTAATCTTCTACTGAAGATTGCAATTCCTCTACTGAATTGATTTAAGATATAACAAGGGAAATGAAAAAATTGGACTATCCTGACAGATAACTTTGTTTGCCAAACTGCAGGCAGATCAGTATCTAAGAGGCTTACTCTTAAACTCCTGGAAAATAAGAGAATGCTTCCAAATGAAAAAATTTTTAAATGACTTTTTAAAGTAGGGCACTACAGATCAGTGAGATGGTACAAATACACAAGTTAATGAAGAGAGTATAATTGATTGGACTCTAGGCACACTTACCAACGTATCTAAAAGAATTCTATATGTGTTGACAATAATTGTTATGGTCAGTGGTGCAAAAATATTATCTGCCCTCCGTGGTTTCAAATGTTCTCTTCCAGTTTATGACTGTTAAAATTCACTGAAGTCCATGGGGCTGCAGTATAAACAGAGATATATAAACATGCATGCATTAAATGTCTTCACCAGCGACAAAAATGTTAAATCGATTTTATGAGAAGTTGGTTTTCCAGCCACTGAGTGGCTGTAAATGTTAAGTGTTTTTACAGGTTGTTGCTTTCCCAGCTGCTGAGCTGTTTTAAATGTTATCTCTCACACGCACACACACATACACATATCCTTGCTTTGCCAGCTGGTAAGCCTCTCTGCACATTTTTATAAAGTTTTTTCCCCATTTTTTTACTTGCTAAATCTATTTATATTTTACTCACATAAGCAAGTGCAAAATTGTCTTGGCATCCTCTAGCTTTTATTTTTATTGAATTTTTTTAACTACAAATAAAAATTCCATCCCTGTTTCAGTGCTTTCCAGAGAGTAGGGGCTGTAGTTATAATGAATCCAAGATGAGCATTACGAGTTCATCTCAAAATTTAGATACCACAAAAGCACTCTTCTTGTGGTATGCTCAGTGGAAACACTGTTTTTGTGGTTTTTCCATTGGAAATATTGTACTTGTGGTATTTTCAATGGAAAAACTATTACTGTGGCATTACTGAGTGCTGTAGGAAATGCTAGCTGGAGTCTTCTAACAAATGGCACACAGAAGAGGGAAGCAAGAGAGTTAAAGCAGCAACCAATGGAAGGTAGGAGTGATGATGATGATGATGATAATATTTTATTTAAGAATTCAAAATTAATCCCTGTTACATTATCTATGAGTAAAGGGAGGGATTCATTTCTAGTAAGGAAAAGTTTTGTAAAACCCTTAAGATAAAATGTGAGTGAGAAACTAGACTTACAGTAGAATAAAAATAATAAAAACAAAAGACAAGTGAGGTAACAAGCCATCTTGGGAGGGGGAAAGCGGGACGTGCCTTATGACTTTCTCTTAGTGTCTGTTCACAGACTCTAGAAAAGAAGTGCTTAAGGAAAGAAGATACCAAGTAAAAGTTCGAAGAAACAGACACAAGAATTTTCTGACGGGTTTTCCCAATCAAGTTGGAGGCTGGATTGTACTGAAATAAACCAGCTTAAAATAATTATCTAGCTCCCTAGGCTGTCCTGAGTCTGGCTGGGGCACGGTGCTTTTCTTTATTACCCAGCACTCCTCAGCAGGATTCTCTGCTTCTGTTGGGCGGAATTTTCACATTTTCTCACTGATGCCTGGCTTTTTTTTTTTCCTTGACTTTCTGCTCATGATCATCCTCCCTGCTGGGATACTTATCACTTATCTAAATACCTCTCAGGCTTCCTTGAAGGTCAAAGTTCAATTCATCAAAAGAAGCCTTTCATGGCTCATCCTTCAGCCTTCATAGATCAACTATTTAAAAAAAAAACTGTCAAATAGAGGTCCTTCTCTGCACTTCAGCATTTAGTGGTGTCTACTAGCAATATTGAAATCAGACACTGTGCTTTTTATTTCTTTATAATTTAAATCACCGAGCACAAATCAGAACACTGATAGATGCTTATTAACTAGTAATTGCTTACCTGAGGCAAAGCAAATATGATACCTTGATTTCTCTGAATCCTCCTTGATTATTTTAGTTATAATAGTACTAGTTATTATAAGAGATAAACCCCCAAATTGCAGAGCCTAAAACAATAATTACGTTTTCTTCTTCATATCATATTCCTAAGTGGACATTTCTGGTAGAGTGGCTCTTCTCCAAGTAGTGACTCAGGGATCCAGGATCCTTCCATTGTGTGGCTTTACCCCATGGCTTCCAAGATTGCACAGAAGGTGGTCTCTATCCTTGTCATCTGGAAAGGCAAAAAGAAATTAAAGGAAAGAACTGTGTATTTAATATATATGTAGAACTGAACTGAAAGTGGTATCTGTGACTTCTGCCTATGTTTTATATTGGTCAAAACTCCATTATATAATGTATTGTCATCTCTTCTCAGCCTTTTGGCTAAGATTGGATTATAATGTATTGTGTTGACTTTTATTCCCCCAGGCTTATACGTTGAAGTCCTAACTCCTAGTACTTTAAAATGTGACCATATAGCACTTGCAGATAAGGCCTGTAAAGAGGTAATTAGCTAAAATAGAAGTTATTAGTATGGAATCTAATTCAATATAACTCATCTCCTGATAAGAAGAAGAAATTTGGACACAGATGGGTACAGAGGAAAGACAATGTGAAGGCACAGGTAGAAGTCAGCCATCTACAAGCCAAGAAGAGAGACCTCAAGAAACCAACCAGCTCTTCCAGTATCTTGGTCTCAGAAATCTAGTGTCCAAAATTGTGAGAAAATAAACTTCTCCTGCATAACACAGTATCAGTCTGTGATACTTCGTTATAGCAGCCTCAGTGAATTAATACACATGGCAACACTTATCTGCAAGGGAACCTGGAACATGCAGTCTTGCTGTGTGTCAAGGAATAAAAGAAAACCGGTTTTGTTGAACATACAGCAATTTCTGCCACAGTACTAGAACTGGGTAGGGCATTAAGGACCATCTACTCCAATATTGTCTTTTCTTTTTAAAGATCAAGATAAAGCCTGATAAATAAATTGACTTGTTCAAGAATCTTCTGGATAAGTCACCTAACTAGTGACTGTATTATTCATCCAATTAATTGGATCAAAAATTTGCTAATGATTATTGTCCACCAATGTTCCACTTATCTCCCATTCCCTTTAATGAGTTTCACCCTAGATGGATAATATAATTATGAGGCCTAATGCAAAAAAAAAAAAAAAAAATGAGGGTGAGGGCCTTTGTTAAAATTATTTAGAATTCCAAAAAAAAAGTGACAGCAGATCATTAGACCATGCACAGGACCTTTTTGACTGTGGGTCTATGTGAGTGCACAGGTTGCATGCCATGAAGCTGGCCCTGGTGTCACATATACTAACAACACTACCACTACCATGGGTCTTGATGGCTTGAAATTGACATTAGAAGGTTGGAGAAAAATTTGAAGAACTAGTCCACCCCCAGCCCATGTTGGATAGACTATCAATAAGAGGTTGATGATGCTCAGTCTAAAATATTGGTGTGTAAACATAGATCTGCCTTCTGTCACCAAACTTCTTATGTTAGAATCACATGGGGGAGTATTTTTATTTTTTTATCATATAGAGATTCTAACGAAATTTGTTGGGACACAGGTAAGATTTTCTTTTCAAGTGCCCACAGCTGCTTCTCTTGCCCAGGCTACATTTGGACAGTACAGGTTATAACAATTTGAAATCTTATGAATCTGTTGACTTTAACCTACCTAACACCCCCAAATTTGTTATTCCTTACTTTTCTTACTCAGAGAAGAATTTTATTTGTAGATGATATTTCTTTGGATAAGATTTGACAATGTTAATAAAGTCAAGATTTCCTCCCAAAAGTTCTAGTCTTCAAAATTAATTTTCTGGCATCCACCTCAATTGTCCCTAACTCCCTTCTATGGTTATCTCTGGTGACCTTATAAAAGATATAGTGTGTTCTTGTTCTGTCTGTATTTTGCATCATCAAAATTATTCTCAGGAAAAGGCCTAGTAAATGTGTTTATATTAAAACATTAAAGACAGATAGGAACTGATACTGCAATCCTTGTGAGAATCTTTTCCTTCCAAGGGACAAAAGGATTTAAGCCAAAATGACAAATCTTTTATTGCAGGATTTCAGGCACTGATGAAATTTTAATGGGTCAAATGTATATGTTGTGAAGTTTTAATTTTATTCACTCATTGACTTATTTATATTTTTTATTTTTATTTTTTTTTCAAATTTATTATACTTTAAGTTCTGGGGTACATGTGCAGATAATGCAGTTTTGAAGATATATTTAATTTTAAAAGAGAGATTTCATTATTAAGTAATCCCCACATTTAAGGAAATCTTATTTTAAAAAGGTACATACACATATTAAAAGAAAATATAGAAAGTGCTGTTTATCTACATTTGTATTTATTTTATTTTTTATAACTATCTCTCTATCTCATCTATTTTCTTACCTATCTCTAGGGAAACCCAGGAGAAGAGGTAATGCATTCTGTCTGAAACCAACAGAAAAGATTTAGACGGTAGGTATGCAGTTTGAACTGAATTCTAAGACAGCATGGTATAAATTTTAGTGTCAAACATGAATGTCTGCCATTTGTTTAATAAAATCAGTTTGGGGAAATTACTTTGCTCAGGGTAAACACTCTGGATCATACTGCTGGGGTTTGAATCTGGCTTCATGACTAACTGTATAGCCTGGGGCGATTTATGTAACATCCCTGTTCCTTATTTCTTCATTTATAAAATGAGAATAAAAATAAATAAATCTGACCACATTGGTTTTATGAAAGGATTAAAGAATTAACTCATGCAAAACATTGAGAACAGGGATTATTTCCTATTATAAACTTTGCTATAAGCCAATTTAGTCTCTCTAAGATTAGAAGAATAATATATGCCTTTAAGACTGATCTGAGAATCAAATTGAAGAATATAGGCAAAACATCTAGCCACTGTAGTCTAAATTCTAATGTGGGCTCAGAAAACATTGTTCACTCAGTGATTCACCCAAGAGACATTAATGTAAGTTACACCTATACCTTGTCCTTTTACATAGATTACCTTTTTGTTGATTAATTTAACTTTATACAGATTAGTATTTGAGTGCTGGAATGAAGTAAGCATAGATAGCATATTTAGTGTTTTCATGTCCTATAATTGGTTATTTTGCTTTTCATTCAAACATATCTTTATGATTACACCAAACAACTCAAATTAGGCTATCTGAATCAGCACACCATGAATAGAGCTATAAAAGTATTTTCTAATTAGCAACTTTTGAAATCTTCAGCTGAATGATATGATGACAGAAAAAATAATTGTTCATTCAAGCTATTTTATGTTTTCATATCAATTTTGGGATTTTTTTTTCCTTAATTCTGTAAAAAAAAAATGATGTTGGCATTTATATAGAAACTGCATTGAATCTGTGGATCGGTTTGGGCAGTATGATCATTTTAATGAATACAAATTAGTACAGCTTCTATGGAAAACAGTATGGAGATTTCTCAAAGAACCAAAAATGTAACTACCATTATATACAGTAATCCCACTACCAGGTATCTACCCAAAGGAAAAGAAGTCATGATATCAAAAAGATACCTGCACTTGTATGTTTATTGAAGCACTATTCACAATAACAAAGGTATGGAATCAGCCTAAATCCATCAACAGAAGACAGATAACCGTATCAGTCAATTCTCTTAAGGGACAGAACTAATAGAATAGATGAATATATGAAAGGGAGTTTATTAGGAGAATTGACTCACACAATCACAACGTGAAGTCTCACAACAGGCCATCTGCAAGCTGAGGAGCCAGGAAGCCAGTGCAAGTCCCACAACCTCATCAGTAGGAAAGCCAGTAGTGCAACCTTCAGTCTCTGGGCGGAAGACCTGATAGTCCCTGGCAAATCACTGGTGTAAGTCCGAGAGTCCAAAAGCTGAAGAACTTGGAATCTTCATTTGAGGGCAGGAAGAATCTAGCATGAAAGAAAGGTGGAGGCCAGAAGACTCAGCCAGTCTAGTACTTCCAGTTTCCTCTCCCTGCTTGTATCCTAGCCACACTGGCAGCTGATTAGATGGTACCCACCCAGATTGAGGATAAGTCTGCCTTTCCCAGTCCTCTGACTCAAATGTTAATCTCCTTTGGCAACACCCTCACAGACACACCCAGGAACAATAATTAGCATCCTTCAATCAAATTGACACTCAAGATTAACCACCACAATAAAATAAAACTGATGATAAAGAAAATGTGGGGCTGGGCATGAAGGTTCATACCTGTAATCCTAGCAGTTTATGAGGCCAAGGTGGGAGGATTGATTGAGCTCAAAAGTTCAAGACCAAGCTGGGCAACATAATGAGATGTCATCTCAGAAAGAAAGAGAGAGAGAGAGAGAGAGAGAGAGAGAGAGAGAGAGAGAGAAAGAGAGAAAGAAGGAAGGAAGGAAGGAAAGAGAGGAAAAGGAAATAAAGAAAATATGGTACATATACACAATGGCTGTTTAGCCATACGAAGAATGAAATCATGTCTTTTGCAGTACCATGGATAGAACCGCGGACCATTATCTTAAGTGAAATAAGTCAGACATGTATTGCACGCTCTCACTTGTAAGTGGAAGCTAAATAATAGGTCCACATGGACACAGAGTGTGGAATAATAGACATTGGAGACTTGGAAGGGTGGGAGCATGAAAAAAGGGTGATGGATGAGACATTATTTAATGTGTACAATGTATATTTTTCAGGTGGTGGTTACACTAAAAGCCCAGTCTTCACCATTACAGAATATATACAGGTAACAAAACTGCTCTTGTACCCCTTAAATTTACACAAAATTAACGACATGGTTTGGCTGTTTCCCCTCCCAAATCTTACCTTGAATTATAGCTCCCACAACTCCCATGGGAGGGACTCAGGGGGAGGTAATTGAATCATGGGGTTGGGCCTTTTCCTTGCTAGTCTAATGACAGTGAATAAGTCTCATGAGATCTGATGGTTTTATAAAAGGGAGTTTTCTTGCACAAGTTCTCTTTTTTTGTCTGCCGCCACTTGAGACATGCCTTTCACCTTCCACCATGATTGTTAGGCCTCCCCATCCATATGGAACTGTTACTCCATTAAACTTGCTTTTGTACTCTTTCTTTTATAAATTGCCCAGTCATACTCTCTCTCTTTCTCTCTCTCTCTCTCTCTCAGAGTGAAGAGAGTCAAGCAGTCAACTGATTTTATAGCTCTCTTTAATGTGCCTTTTTCAGAATTATTTTTAGTCAGTACTTATGTTTCGCGTCGTTAAAAATATATATACATGTGTTTTACTTAGCCTGAGGAAATACATAAAACAAAAGTAAAAATAAAATACAACCCAAAACGTAGACAAAGAAAAAATTAAAGTGGTAAAATAAGGAAAAGTACAGGTTTCCATCTATGCATGAAATTTATATTGTAGGTCAAATTATACTACAGATAAAGGTGGACCACAAAAAATGGTTCTGAAATTTCTAGCAGACAGACCAAAAAGGAAAAACGATCAGATTCATAGGGGCCATCAGATAAAAGCAAGCATGTCAAAAGACAGTTTTATTACAGCTCAATCTTTTAACCATCCAAACACTTTCTGAACTCACAGACACTTTATCTAAGCCTCTTTTCTGCATGTATCTCTTTTTAACTTGTGTTTAGGCATCTTGATCCACTGCAAAACCATGTGAACCATAAAGACAGAGGCCTTAGCATATAAATTTTTTATAACACTGTGCTTCACACAAGGCAGGATTTCCATTACATGTTTGCACAATAAATTAATGACGTTTTACGATGTATGTCAAAAGAACGAAACCTGTTCGAGTGAACCTGACACTTTCAAAGCACACTGGCTGGGAAGACAGGCTGACAAATTGTATTGAGAAAAATGAAGGTTATAAGGTGGATCTCTCTGTGTGTATAGGAATAATTATTATGGCAATTTATTATCATTTTTACAAAAGGGAAATAGAATGGAGAGATTGAAGAAGACAGCTTAAAAAGAAGGGAGAAGCTATTGAATACAGACTCTTCATTACAAATTTTTATCAAAATCTGAATCTCGGTAGAATAACAATTTGAAGTCACTGGGCAATTAATAATCATATTGTTTTTAAGTTACAAGTTTCCCATCAATTTAAGTATCTTTAAGTGTATTCCAACAACTTATAATGCCCACTAAAACATTTTATTGTATGCAAAGTTTAGAAGCATCTAGTCAAATTACTGTATTTGTTATATGGTAATCAGTATTATTTTGGCCTTTAATTTCAGAATTCTATGTAACAGTTATCTAAGTTGGGGTTACTTTGGGTATTTCATGCAATTTCTTTTTTATTCATATATTTATTTGACAAGCACTCACAATGTGCCAGCACTGTGGGTGAGATAGAAACATAGTACCACTAATCAAGGAACTTACAGTCAAGAAGGAGAAATAACTACAGCAGAGGAGTGCATATTTGTATCCACCAAGGAATGGTGCAGTCCTCCAGGAGCTGGAGGTCATAAGAGAAAATGAGCTAACTTCTTGGATTGATCTAAGGAAAAACAGCGGAGGAGGTGGCATTAGGTCTAGTCTTAAATAACATGCAAACTTTGGATTCCTATTTAAGGGCACATGTGGAAGTAGGGGGGTGCAAAATTGTTAGATGAAATTTAGGATAAGCATCTTAACTTCAAACAAAGGAGCAGTGGAAATGGTTGTGTAAGGGGAAGGGAAGAGAAGGGAAGGGAAGGGAAGAGAAGAGGGTGTTAACATCTTGATGAAAGGCATAGCAAAATCAGAGTGACACATGATGCAAATTATCGATGGAGGTGTACAGGAAAGAATGTACTGCATTTCAGTGTCTTTCAATACATGCAGAAGAACAATGCCAACCAGAGGTTGAAGCACATTGTCCAGTATAGGCAAATGTATAGAGACAGAAAGTAGAGTAGTGGTAGCCAGAGCTGGGGCCAGCGGGACGTAGGGAGTAACTGCTGATGAAATGTTTTTTTTTCTTGTATTGATAAAAAATGTGCTGGAATTAGGTTGTGATAATGGTTGCATGATTTTGCAAGTATCTAAAAAGTCATATATTCTCCACTTTAAAAATAGTTCCCAGCCGGGTGCGGTGGCTCATGCCTATAATCCCAGTACTTTGGAAGGTTGAGGCGGGCAGATCACCTGAGGTTGGGAGTTTGAGACCAACATGGAGAAACCCTATCTCTACTAAAAATACAAAAATTAGCCAGGCATGGTGGCGCATGGAAGCTGAAGCAGGAGAATCGCTTAAACCTGGGAGGCCAAGATTGAGGTGAGCCAAGATTATGCCATTGCACTTCCCCTGGGGCAACAAGAGCAAAACTCTGTCTCAAAAAAAAATGTTCCCACTTAACCTTTTCATATGTGCTTAGATATGGCATGTTTATTAGTTGTCCTTATTTATGCTCTGTTTTGATTTAGTATTGGCTCATGTACTATGCTTTATGTCCTCCTCAGATTAGCAATCCTGTTTTGTATCACAGCTTTCATGATGGCCTTGCTCCAGGATACCACTTCAGGTCTTGTTGCTATTATCCCTACTGTGGATAACAAGAGACCCATCCTAGCAGATAGGATACTGCCTACCTGAAGCTATTCTCCATCTGGCTCCAAGCCTGAGGGGGCAGGGGAATTATGCAGATACATTCAATCAGAGTTACGAAAATCAATTAGGCAGCATTTTAGTGGAGTTATGAATTGCTAAGGCTTAACTTAGGATGGGGTAGGATTGATAAAAAAGAAGAAAGGAAAGAGATCCCGTGCAAGAACAGACAGGAAGTTGTTTCAGATTACATCTGGAATGGAGTCAGAGAACCAAAAATAAATCACATTTGAAGTCCCAAGTGGCACAACTTTTTGTCAGAGTTCCTTGGAAGTTCTACTGGAGAGTTACATATTATGATATAACACTTTACACAGTGCTTGGTATACAGTAAATATATGTAATGGTGTAATGGATTTTGCAAGGATTTTATTTTTATGTTTTGTTTTTACTTCTTCCTAGGAGACTCTTGGTTTCAAGTCAGTTCATTAATCATTCTCATTCTAATCCACAGGAGCTAGGAATTAGTATCCTCATTTTGTAAATGAGACTACTGAAGATGAATTAGATTAAATGACTTAACCATGGCCTCCATGTTGGACTGTGATTTTGCAAAAAGGAAGAGCAGACTCTGTTAGTTCTACACAGGAGATGGGAGATGAAAGGGAATTGATGGAATCTAGAGGGACAAAATGGAGATGAGAAATTAGAAGTAGAAATGGAGACAATGAAGATGCCAAGAAAAGCAAGGTCAAGACAGGTGAGAGCAAGACCGAGCTTTGGGGATTTGTATTGGCAGGGCCAACTCTGCAAACCAGCTCGGCCAGAAGAAGGGCAAGGCACCCTCTCTATGTGTCAGTGCTTTGGAGTTTGAATGCCATCGTGAATTTTCTGGCAGTTTCATCATGAGGTACAGAACAGCTGGAAGGCTATTCAGAATCAATCTCATTTCTAGGATGAAGACTCTAGTATGTACGAAAGAGTTGACTTTCATAGAAGAGCAGCCTGCAGATAACAGTATGTTACTATAACCCTACTGCTCCTCAAAGAACCAACGCAACTAGTTTGTCCTAAAACCAGTCATCCCTTCTGATAAACCCCAATGCCATGTAGCCATTTGATACTTATCATTTATTATATAATGAGTTACCTTTTCATATATTTATGCTCTCTCTCCAACTATATATTCTACCAAGACAGGTGCAGGTATTCTTTTCTCATTTTCCTATGGATATAAATTTATACCTTGTACCCATTTAATCAAGCACTTGACTGATTGGATGTCTGCATAAAATGCAGACATGATTCTCCCAAAATGGGCTGTGTAGGAGCCTACATGGCAAAGATTAAGGTTCCTGGGATACAGATTCGGAGATGAAATTAAGAGCTCATTATGTTAATTAAGGTGCATCCTTAGCATCAACACCTCTTGAGGTAGGGGAAGGAAGCAGACAGGGAAGAGAAAGAAGTTGAGCTTCCATGGAGACCCAAACACAGCTTCAGCGAATCCCATAGAGATTTCTAGAGCTAGAATGACCCTTCAGCATTTTCTCAAGTTGAATTGCAATGAACAGGCTGCTATATTTTTTTTCTGATCAGTTTTTGGTTGTGGGCTGCCTGTAAAGGGGTGTGTCCTTGGACAAGGCTGCTCTGTAACTGAGGCAATCCTTGGAAGGGCAGCCAGCTTATGGATATCTGCCAACAGCTAAAGAGCAACAAGTTCTTCAGCAAAGGAAGGCCTGGCCAGTACAGCACCAGGCTCAGTCACATTAGGTAACTCAACGTAAATGTAAGTGCATTTCTTAGAGGTGGGATAAGGTACTTTGAAGTACCTCATTGAGTTAGAAGACAAAGGTATTGATGCCCACAGTTAACTTTCATTATTTCTGATTGAGTTCAGTTATACTGAATTTGCGATGGCAGTTTGAAAATTTACTGTCAGTAACTACAAAAGAAGAAAAATAAAAACCAGAGCATTGTCTTTGTGATTACGCTGGGACACTTTCAGAGTAAGTCCCAAAGATACATGGTGCAAGAAAATACTGACATCATACTCAGTTGTGATTCTTTGCTTTCTCTTTCTAAGAGAATTTTAGCTGCATGTTGGATGGAAAACTGTACAAAACAAGGGAGACAGAGGAAAAACACCACTTGTTAATATTCTCCGCTAGATTCTGCTGAGGAATCACTTGATTTTACAGATGCACCTAGCTTAAGTAGAGTTAAAAGTCATGTAGCTACAAAGCTGACTTGCACACTAAAAGCTAATTAAGGGAAATGCAGCTTTCCTAGGGTAGGTTCTTGGCACTTCTATGCAAATAGGTAAAAGGGAATGGCAGATATTCAAGCTTAGGGAACAAGCAGCAAGGACAGAGTCTTCCCCGTCTCTGTGTTGAAGTCAGCAGATAGTACACCTGCTGCTGCTTGAGTTCCTTCTGCCAAGCAGAGTAGCACAGCTGCAAGACACTCTGCTTCTGGCTCTGAGCTTTGCCTGTCTTCAAGGATGGAGCCCCTCCCAAGGCAAGTTCAACCGGGTTCTTTGGCAGCCGAAGTCTACACGGACCCTGCAGGGAGTAGAGGAGAAAAGTGAGTTTGACATGCTTGGAAATATTTAGATCTTGGATGTAAACTTCAAGGAAAATATTTACTCTGTTTGTTTTAATACCACAGAGGTTTGGATCCCGGGAATCTTCAGATGAGTACAAAAGGCTCTTGCCAAGGTACCAATTTAACAATTTGGTCAGTGACAAAAGGGCATCCTGTTTAACTAGTCTGAATTTAAATAGCATGTTTCCAATGTATTAGCATGTCTGTTTCATCTGTTTACTGAACTGTTTTCTTTAACCCCTGAATTTGGGGTTTGGTTTATGAATTTGCACAGAATCAAATACATTTTTTAATAGAAAGCATGCAAAAAAGCAGGTCATCACATAGTTGAAACGGTTGCTATTCGAGCATTGACAATAAGCTTCTCATGATTACTTGACCATTCAGAGTGACCAAATCCTCATGGAAGGGTACAAGCTCTCTTTACTCATGGCTCGTGGTAAAACATTCCTTACTGTGTCTTTGCTGGTGTTGAGAAATACTGCAGAATGCTAAAGGACTATCCGATTGTATTTTTTGGTGAGTGAATTATGATAAAATTGAAGCCTTTTGTAAATGTGACTTGAAAAGTTGCATATTTTGTGTCTTCTCTTTGTGTTTCATGGGGAATACCCCTGCAGAACACAACTTTCAGGACTCACACCGACCACTGATTTTCCTTGAATTTTCCATTTTTGTTAGTCTGCAGCAGAGCGGAAAATAGTTCCTGTAAAGGGAAGTCTTAGGAAAACATGTCAGATATGTGCATAATATATGCACATATCTGGAGGAAAAATAGACAAAAACATGAAACTAGCATCACAGTGATCTCTCTAAGGGCCTACAAGAGATAAATTGGGACTCCTTCCTGCCTTCAGATAGCACATCAGGCAGAGAAAATATTAACCATTTTTCAACTCTCAGAAAAGTAGATTTTATGATCTCATACAATTTCCTATTCCAATATTGGATTGCTTCCCCATTTTAGCAATTTAAAAAAATTAAACTTTTTTTTTTTGCTATACTGCCAAGCCAATTTCTCCTATATAATTGTTTTTAGACATGGCAAACGAACAGCTGCTTTTCAATTATTGGACACAGTTGTATTTCAATTCTCTTTTAACAGCTGTGAAACAGAATTCCTATTCAGAATTTTATAACAGTAAACCACACAAAAAGACTACTGTTGTCTCTCTGCTAATGGAGATTTTGTGTCCCATTTATTTTTTAGTACCATTTCCAGATGCTGTCTATTATCTTTTCTCCATCTTTGCTTGACTGTTACTACCACGTGTATGATTCCAACTAAGTCTGATGTCTGCTGATTAAACTTTATTTACAATAACTTTGTCAATTTTTTCCTCCGTTGGAAGAGAAAGTTATCCCTCTTCTCCTAACCAGTTGACAATCAAGTGAAGAAACAATTTTAATACCAAAATAGTCATTCTGTCACCACCAACTATTGTCACATTTCTTCTTAGTTGCCCATCAGTCATAAGAACAATTATAGAGGGAAAAAGTCAAACATGTAAAAACTTATATTTACTAATAAACTAATTTGCATGGAAACCATTAGAGAAATATAGACTCATCTGCTTTATAGCAGCTTAGAACAGAGAGGAGTCTACAAGATCAGTTAGTGTAACTCTAACACCTTTCATCTTGGAGGAAGAAAAACTAGAGTGCTAAAGTAATTTTTCTGTTTTCAGATAACCCATCTCTTTTGTAGATTAGTTACCCTACAGCTCAATTTCCCAGTTTTAGTAGCTTACTTACTCTTTCACAAGCGGTAATCTAAAATCAGAGAAAGCATGGTTCTGAAAATTGGAAGGTAAACTAAGAGAACTATACATTACCATTCAGCTGGCTGTAATAATAATTCTCCCACTCTCTAGGCCAGACTGAATTTCCATCTGGTAGAGATTTATGCATTAACTATAATACTTGATTTCCCTCTAAAGTTCAAATCTTCCTGGAAGGTATTAATTTTATGTTATTTAGGCATTTATACAGAGTATGAACTAACAATCTGAGAGTATGTTTTTATAGGCTGAAAGGAGGAGATGCATGAGGGATTTACACAATGCCATTTAATTTAAACTTAATAATATAATGTTAATGGCTATGTATTAGTTTTCTTTTGCTGCTGTAGCAAATTACCACAAACTTAGAGGCTTAAATAATATAAATGTATTATCTTTTAGCTCTTAAGTTACATGTCTGAAGTGCTTTTCGCTGAACAAAAGTCAAGGTGTTGGCTGGGCTACCTTCCCTTCTGGAGAATCTAAGGGAGAACCCATTTCCTTGTCTTTATCAGATCCTAGAGGTTACCTGCATTTCTTCACTTTTACAACCTGTCTTCCATCTTCAGAGCCAGCAACAGTGAGTTGAGAGTCCTGATATGACATCACTCTGATCTCCTCTGCTGTTCCTTCTTCCATTTTTAAGGACAGTGTAATTACATTGAGTCTATGTGGATAACCCATAATAACCCTCTCTTCTAAGATCAGCTGTCAAGCAACCTAAATTCCATTACAACCTTAATGTCCCCCCTTCAGCCATATAACTTAATATATTCACAAGTTCCAAAGATGAGGAAGTGGACATCTTCGAGGGTGTGTTGTCATTCTGCTTAACACAGGCTGTAAGAGAAAAGCTACAAATATAGTGGCTTAGCGAAATAAAAGTTTATTTCTTATTCACATCAGGAGTTTCTGGAAGAGTAAACCTCTAAGTGACTATTCGGGGACTCGGACTTCTTTCATATTCTGCATCTGCCTTCCTGCTGAGCTTGATAGCCTTCCCTGCTCAGTTAATACATGAAGAAAGAGAGCAAGGCTTTTGTGTGTGTTTTTTATGCACCAGGTTTGGAGGCCATGAAAATTATTTCTATTTATATTTTCTTGACAGTGCTCAGTTATGTAGCTATAACCTAAGTACAATGGAAGTTAGGAAATATAGTCTATCTATGTGCTCGGAACATGAAGAAAATGCATTTGATGAAGAGCTAGTCAGTCTGTGCCAATTCTGTTTGTTTGTTCACCAAACATCTATTCCATTTTACCTGCCACACATGGAACACAGGTGTCCTTTGTGAAAGTGGAAAAGTCAAAGTCCCGACAAGTCATTGCATAAAACTTAATGTCCAGGATCCTTGAGTAATGCTCATCTCTCGAGACCAGAATTGAAGTAGCTTCTTTAAATCTATAAATGATGTATATTTACTTACACACACACACACACACACAAACACACACAGGCACGCACGTACCATGCAGAGGCAATACATTGATACAGGAAAACATTTTAGACACCTGTTTGGTAAAGGAAAAAATGAGAGGCATGCAGCTGTTACTGGACCATAGCAATTTTGAAATCCTACCAGGCAGATATTAAAGGTCCTATCATTTGGCTGGAAAAAATCTTTCATTTATTCCTAAATCATGCTCCCTAGAACCTCTCTTCTTCACTTTTCTCCGTGGTTACCAATTCTGGCCTCTGAGAGATTATTTTTTGCCTGCCTTTCTCATGGCCTTCAGGAAGTGGGAGTTGGGGAGTATGTTTGGTGCTCATTAAAGTTGGTGGACTCAGCACTAATCTTAAAGCTAAAGAAGTCAGTACTTTAGTCCATGCTCAGAGAATCCTTAACAAAACAATTTCCCCCAAACTAATAGGCATTTAAATTGTTTCGTTTCTAGTCAATTCCATGTGCCAAAAACTACATTTGAAGTTTTTTCATCATGATAATTCTCATGCCTGATTTAGTTTTTTGCTTCCTCACCTATACCCTTCCAGGCTATTCCCAACCTCCCTGAAGCTATCTAAAATAATAGTTTTGAATACTGTTTCCTTAATCTAATCTTTATGTTAAATTGTCTGTTTTTTTTCTCCCAATAATCTTATTTGATTCTTGTCATTCAGAGCCTTTTTCAATTTATCTTAATTAGGATGCAGAAGCACTTAGGTTTACTAACCCTAAAAGCTATTGATCTCTGGATACATATCCACTTCAATTTCTGCTTCAAAATAAGCCTATTTTTGTCTGTGCTCAGCTCTTTCTTGTAATATATTGCTAAGAAAGGCCAATAGTAACAAATAGACACTGTTACATATCAATCTCTTGCCCTCATGTCCAAAAACTATAGGCTTATAGGCTCTTGAGGTGTGTTATGCCTTTCTGTTTAATGTATGAAATGGTTTTAACATATGTTTTACCATGAAACAACATGACCTGGACCTTCATTGTTCCAGCCTCATCTATCAGCCTCCATGAAGCTACTCAAAATAATATTTGTGAATACCCATTTCCTTAATCTGATCTTTATCCTACGGTTGCGTTATCAGTTTTCAGATTCTTCCCTTTTCAGGAACAAATGGAAAAAAAAAAGGGTCACTAGTGGGATACTATGATAAAATGGGCCTAAATTGATTAACATCTTTTCTGCATACATTCTGTTGGTCACAATTAAGTCATATGACCATATTTAATTGCAAAGTGTGTTAGGAAATGTATATGTGTGTGTGTGTGTGCATGCACACACACGCACATGCCTAGTGGGAAACAGTGATGAATTTTAGTTCATTTTTGCAGTCTCTGTCACACCAAAAAGCACAAAACTAAGTATCTGGATATGCCAAAAGTCAGCTGTATTGTTAGTATTTCTTAGAGCATTATGAACTGTTATTGATCGTTATTGAACATTTAACAGCAAAAGATCTGCTGACAGTATGATATCAACGTACAGAGATTTAAAAATCTTGAGGCATTCAAAGTATCATACACGAATCAGGGTAATTCATTTACTTTAGAGTATTATTGACTACCTATCATATCTTGGACTTTATGTTATATGCTTTGTAAATAAAAAGCACAGGATGAGTCTGTAACCTCAAAAAGCTTTCAATATCCCAGAAGAGGCAAGCATACATACGAGAAACTAAAATGCACTTTTTCTTCTATTATCCAGTTATAAGCATTGTATAGGAACACAGAAGAGGGAACTACTATGTCCTAGTCTTATTAAGAAAAAAGTAAACAGAGACAGCAAGAAAATAGCAACTATTAAGAATGTTGTGTTTTTCTGTTTTTGTTTGGTTTTACTATGAAAATGAAGTATCTCATCAAATAAGGAAGACTTTATGAGCAGAAAATTATCAAAATGCTGAACATACTGCACTGAAGAAGCAAAACCCAAAGGTGTTCAAAAAGGTCAGTGCTTTGTCTAGTTCAATGTTTTGGGGAAGAGATCTTAAAATCCAGAATAATATTTAAAGTAAGAAAAAAAGCAAAGCCATTTTTTCCTCTTTGGTGGTTGCTATTGTTGACGTTGAAGAGTAACTGGAAAGAATAAGTTAAATGGTCAAAAGTTTGTTTTTGAGATGCCTGCAATATGGCACTTGGGCAACCTCCCATGATGCTAGATCCCTGTTGGGTCTGACGAAGGCAGACATTCATTAAGCCTCTCACCACCAGCGGTTGGAACCCATCCACTTCATGCGAGTAGACAACCACAAATATTTTATTCCGTATATCAGTACCAGAAGCTAGAAGCATGGAATGCACACAGTATGCTTTGAACCTCATAATTGTTCCTTGTAATAATAAATTTTTACATTTGAACCTGTGAGTTATCAAGGAAAAAAAAACAAAAAGCCACTTTGGTTAAGGGATAGACTTAAAATAACAGGAATTATGGAAATGGAAAAATACCACTTTTCTTTGTTGGCCCAAGGATTTATGTGTGGGGAAAAAATGATTCAGAGGTGATGGCCTTTCTTGGACATTAACAAACTGTAGAGGAGTTTGCGTCCCTGACAATGGATGGTATGTAAATCCTAATGGTGGTGGGGGTGGGAGTGAGAGGGTGGATGTGTCAGAAAAAGAGAAGCTGAGCTTAGGCAGTTCCATACTTACAAAGGGAGAAGTTGTTTGTATTATATTTTATTTATTTATTTATTTATTTTTTGGGAAAAAAATCTATTGTTGAAAGTCACTTCAGCCTTTCCTACAGAGTGAGAATAATTGGGCTTTAAACTATTAATAGAATATGAATATTGATGAAAAGTAAAATATCATACAAATGACAGTTTTTTTCCAGCCAATTTGTTATACTCAACTCAGGCTTATCGCATTCTGAGCTTTATACAAGTAAACTTCAGATGAAAAAAAATCAGACATTTAAACATTAGAAATCTCATGACGAAAGAATAAAGAAACAGAGACATTTCTTTCCAAAGAGTAGAAATTAAAGAAAAAAATTGACAGTTGAAATTTCAATATATTAAAACATTTCTAATGTAAAAAATATCATTGGGCCAGCTGCGATGGCTCACGCCTGTAATCCCAGAACTTTGGGAGGCTGAGGTGGGTGGATCACGAGGTCAAGAGATTGAGACCAACCTGGTCAACGTGGTGAAACCCCGTCTCTACTAAAAACACAAAAAAATTAGCTAGGCATGGTGGCACGTGCCTGTAATTCCAGCTACTCAGGAGGCTGAGGCAGAAGAATTGCCTGAACCCAGGAGGCAGAGGTTGCAGAGAGCCGAGATCACGCCATTGCACTCCAGCCTGGGTTAACAAGAGCGAAACTCCATCTCAAAAAAAAAAAAATTATTTTCTGTTGAAAGGCAAATCACATATTACAGTGATAGTTGTGTTAAATAGGGGATTGAGTTCATCTCTTAATGCCTCATGCAAATTTATAAGAAAATAATTAACATGATTAACAATAATTTACTGATCAATATTACAGTAAATGTATAATTGGGCAAATAAAAATAGCAGATATGCTAATGGAAACTGTTTAATTATGCTAATAATAAGAAAGTATCATAAATTAGGTCCTATTTCACATGTTAAATTATAGTAAACACAGAAAGAGAATGTTTAAAGCTAGAAAGAGTGTCATGGAACTGATTCTCCTTCATTGCTGATGATATTGTAAATTGGTAAACATGTTTTAGAATGCAACTTGAAAATGTGTGTATTTGTTGATTTAGTGGGTGAAGTTATGAAACGATTGTATTTTTCTTTGGCAACAGCCTGTTAAATTCTGTGTTGAATTTTCCATCTATCCTTGCCCCTGCACAAAACTTCTGATAACTAATCTTCAGGTTACTAGTAGAGCTGATGTACAAAAGCCTACTTACACTTAAGAAATGAAACAAAACCAAAACACAAAATCTTTCATTGCCTCATTCTCTTTTAAGCTTCTCTCCTGGACTCCTGATGTGGGACTTGGAAAACGACAGTAAGGAAAGCGGATGCCCATTATTTTTCCACTTTATTCTTTTTTCTTCCCTTACTCAAGATGTTATTTCTTGACCCCATCTTGGTGATGATGGGTGGAAAAGAAAAACAAGGGTTGAAAATTTGCATATCAATCAACACAGTAGTAATCTAGAGCCAGGCAGATACCTAAATGCTGTCTTCCTACTGAGGATATTTTGTAGGTTCTTTGAAAAAGCCAGTAAAAACAATCCGCTATACTATTCACTGACTTGGGCAGTGCCCCAACTAGCTGGCTATGAAACAAGGGTTGAAAAGTTATTTGTCAATCAATGGCATTCACCTGAACCCCTGCTTCTTGGGTAATCTTCCCATTGCCTCTTAGTTCTGTTGTCTGTTAGCCCTTGCAGGTAAGCCACATATTGAGATCCTTTCCAGGCAATTCATGCCTCACTACCCTCTGGAGTGTTCACACTGGCTCTACTTTTTCTCCATGCTCAGCCATCAGGACTATTTCCAGCCAATCTCCTATCTGTATTTTGCAGGTGAGAGCTGGCCTTTTTGCTTTTTAAATCCCTCACATATCAAGTTCTAAGTTCCCTCACTTGGCCTGAGGTTAGTTAAGAAAGTATGGAGGAAGGAAAGAGAAATGCAGAATAATGCTGACAATTGTTCCAAAAAATAATTTATCAATTCCCCTAATGAATGCTTACCTTTTGTTATATAAGGGAAGATAGGAGATGGACTAAGAGAGGCTGAATCTGTTTTGTGAAAGCCCTTTTTTAGCTCACATTGAAAAGATCAAGCATCTCTCTCTTCAGAAGGTAGCAGTAATTGTCACATACACTTTTGATCTTTGAAATCCTAGCCAAAACTGAGACAATGGAAAAGTCACATTTAGATGTTACACATTTAAAAAATCTTCAGAATTTCCAAACCTTTTAGCCTATAGGGGAAGGAAATAGAAACAAGTAAATGATTTAAAAGCTGGATTCAGGCTGGGCACGACGGCTCAAGCCTGTAATCCCAGCACTTTGGGAGGCCGAGGCGGGTGGATCACGAGGTCAAGAGATCGAGACCATCCTGATGAACTTGGTGAAACCTCGTCTCTACTAAAAATACAAAAAATTAGCTGGGCACGGTGGCGCGTGCCTGTAATCCCAGCTACTCAGGAGGCTGAGGTAGGAGAATTGCCTGAACCCAGGAGGCGGAGGTTGGTGAGCCGAGATCGCTCCATTGCACTCCAGCCTGGGTAACAAGAGCAAAACTTCGCCTCAAAAAAAAAAAAAAAAAAAAAAAAGCTGGATTCATTAACATAGTAGTTATAATATTAATTTAAAAACTACAAAATTTGAAAATGGGAGTTTGAAAGTGGTCCAATGTCTCATAATAGGAGAATGGTTAAGAAAGTTAGGAAATATCTAAATTAAAGAAAACCAACCTGCTAAAATAGCAAGCTACGTTCTTGTGTAGAAAATATAATCCAGCATTGAGTTGGAAAAACAGGACATAAAATTTTATTTACACTATGTTTACAACTATGTAAGTCACATATGTAAGAGGCTTGGGTCAGGAAATCAAACAACTAGTTGTCTGTCACAGCCCTGGGACTTGGTAGCTCAGTAACCTTAAAGACATTATTTAAAGTTTCCAACTCATCTCTGTAAAAATAAGATAATAGTTTCTGTTATTTCCATGAGACTTACAGGTGCTAAAGTGTTGCCTAGCACTTAGTAATTAATTTTAAAGCTCTATTAAAAGACACAAAAGCATACAGAAATGAAAATAGGAGTGATGTTAAAATTATTTAAAATCTCTTTTACATTATTTTAATCTTACCATAATGCTGTTATATTAATTCCATAATTAAAAACAAACTTGAAAAGCTAAACATTAGGGGGACAATATATTGGTGACACCACCCCACAAACATTTAGGACATCTAAACAGGAGGCTGCACCAAATTGAGGCTTACTCACATTTCATGGACAAACTTGTTTTCCTAAGATATTGTGTTAACTGATCTAAAAAATGACTGTTCGTTTCAATCAATTGGCATTCTCTAGTAACCTTTGCATCACCTGGGTATCATTGTCATAGATTTTAGACATAGGTTACAGCAGTTCACCTTGCTTTCTTTGTAGTCCATTTCTGTCAAATTATAAAACCCAAATAAAATATTTCAGAAACAAACAAAGGCTATTTTCCAGTTTATGAGCACCTAGGTAAGAAGGAAAAAAATCACAATCCCCCGAAGTAGGCTTAATTTAAACAAGAGAATATATCTTGCAAACCTTTTGATAATTTTTACTATAGTTTTTAATGTGCTCTATCTAGACTACAATCTGCAAATGAATTGGGTATTAAAGTAAGCTACTTTTAAAAGTTTGCAAATAAAATCTCTCCCTATATATTGTCACTCTTTTATTTGCTCTTATTGGGCTAATAAACATGAAAATGTTATGTGCATTATTTCAAACCAATAAGAGAGCCAAAAATAACTTTTAAAAACAAAGTAAATTTCAAAAATTAAAATTGCTTCCTCTAGTGGGTTTTGGACAAGAACCTTGACTATATCCCAGAAATATATAATTGATTCACCTAAGCTTGTTTATTAAAGACTAAATAAAACTAACATTTACTTATGTACTTCTCATATGGCTTTATGCACTTGCTTCTAATGATAACTTAAAATAACTTTTAAAATACATATTCTCAGATTTGAGGTGAAATCTGAACAAGTGCATCTACATGCCACATAGTTATATGTGGATAACCAACCAAGAATAAACTGCAAAATAAAAACATTTTAAATACAATATTTGAGGAATTTCTTCCATTAACTCTTTATAATTTAAAAATGGTGAATTTTGGCTGGAAACTTGTGGTCAACTATTTAAAAATAAATATAGAATTGGAGGTAGTAGGTTATTGACATTTCTGATTTTTGGAATTTGGAGCTCAGTGGTGTGTCCATCAAG